AAACTGTTCTTATGAATATTCATGAGATGATACAACATATTATAAGGTTTTTTATAATGCATTATGCATTCATTATAATGCCTTAAGAATACCCTTATAATAAATACGGGCTTCATAGAAAGTGTTACCGTTTGTTTCTTCATCAGAACAGATTTGGAGAAATGTAGCACTACATCACTTGCTCAGCAATGGATGCTCTGCAGTGAATGGGTGCCGTCAGAATGAGAGTCCAAACAACTGATAAAAACATCACAATAATCCACAAGTAATCCACTCCAGTCCATCAGTTAACATCTTGTGAAGCTAAAAGCTGCGTGTTTATAAGAAACAAATTAAGGCATTTCATAATGTTCATAATGCATTATAACGCTTCCTTCAGTGGAAAAAGTCCTGCTGCTGTTTTTCACTCGCATCAAAAATCCACCAGCATATTTGTTGGGAATGGTTTTGAAATGTTTTGGTTTGTAAACGGTGCTTGTTATGTGCATATTTCTCTCTTGATTCAGATGAGACAACTTTTTTACCGGAGGAAGCAATATTATGCATAAAGGACTCATATTTTAGCAGGAAGCAACAATTTGAAGTTAAAAATGTCTTGATGGATTTTGCAATTTTCACTTTAGTGGTGTGGATTATTGTGATGTTTTTATCAGCTGTTTGGACTCTCATTCTGACTGCAGAGGATCTATTAGTAAAACAAGTGATGTAGGCCTAATACTAAATTTCTCCAAATCTGTTCTGATGAAGAAACAAACTCATCTACATCTCGAACAGTCTTGAGGGTGAGCAAATTTTAAAAAATTTTTAGGGTAATTTTAGGGTGAACCATTTCTTTAAACCAGCAAGTCAATGTCTTCTGGATTACTAGAATCATCTAGACAACTGTGGTGGAGCAGCAAATGTTCATTTTTGGGTGAACTATTGCTTAAAGGGGTCATATGACGATGCTAAAAATAACATTATTTTGTGTATTTGGTGTAATGCAATGTGTTTACGCAGTTTAAGGTTCAAAAAACATTATTTTCCACATACCGTACATTATTGTTGCTCCTCTCTGCTCCGCCTTTCTGAAACGCGTCGATTTTTACAAAGCTCATCGTTATGAAAAGCGCGGTGTGCTCTGATTGGCCAGCTATCCAGTGCATTGTGATTGGGCAAATACCTCAAGCATGTGATGGAAATGTTACGCCCCTTACCATATTTGGAATATCAGCATCATGGCGGTGGCGGCAACAATACTACAGTGAGAATAAAAGTTACGCCTTCTTTCTTTGCGTGAACATTTGGGTGGTGTTATGCAAATCATCCAACACAGGGACATAGATATGTGGGGGCGTGTTTAAATCAGGCGTTTTAGGAAGGTGTGGACGAGTGTTAACTTTTATAAAGAATATCTCTTTGGGTTTGAGACTTTAGTCTTTGCAACTTTACAGATCTTACATATACACAAACAGCTTGTAACACTCCAAAGACAAAGGACAACTTTAAATCACATCATATGACCCCTTAACTGAGTATCAACCTTGTCTCAGGTGTTTCTCCTCAAATTCCTTACGAGTTATGAGTCAAGTATAACAGGAATGTGGATTGCAGCTCAGATCATTTGGTCCCGGACGAACAGGTGAAATTTGAGTTCATAATGAAATTTCTTGCTTATGATTGTGGACTTGGTACACCTGTGCACATTTTGAAATGTTGAGATCTCTTCTGAAACTCTAAAGGAAACACGTTATATTGCAGAGTCTTTTTCTCAGGAGAAACATCAACAAACGTCTAGGAGAAACAATTGAGATATTTAAGACTCCAAAAATTGCTGTTTAGCGACTTTTAGATCATGAATGTTAGTGCTAGTACCTTTTAGCTAAAAATGTAGAGTCTCTCTCTTCCAAGAAAACAAACCAAAAATATTGATGACATCATCTCGCACTTAGGGGCGTATGCACATTTTTGTCCAATGAAATGCTGTCAAGAATTAGAGTGTCACCCCAGCTAATATCATTAAATTCATGATTAACAGCTGTGATGTTAAACATAAGGTTGTTTGCTAATAAAAAAAAGTCTAAGCCTTACCACGACATCCTGTTTCAAAAGGAAATACATCAAATACAATTTCATGAGGTCTTAGCGATTTCATTCATGATTTTTTTTTCCTACAAGGAGTGTTTATCCTAAAATGACTCTGTATGCTTGTGTCTAATTGTTCAGTCAGGTAATGAGGGTAATTTACATTTGTTTTGAACGATTCTGAAGTGATTTATGAGTGGTAATGAAATAAAGAGCGAGACGATAATGGTGCAGAGAGGAATATGAAGAGGAAATTAAGACAAAAGACACCGAATGGAGTGCAGAGAGAGAGATGCTTCAAACGAAAAAGGAAACAAAAGAAGAAAGAAGCCAGGCTCTTTGGCAGCTGGTGGCATCACAGGTGCAGCTCAAGCAGCGACTCTGGGTATATTCCTGGATGGAGTGATGCTGCACACATTATGGTAGATTCTCTCCATCTTGTGTTAGATTGGATGACAAGGTCACACTAGCGGACATAAATTAAACCTGGTCTTGCGCTATGCTGGGAGTGGAGTTCAGCTCAAGTCAAACAGAGAGAGGCTGGCACACAACACAACAATGCAATGCGTTAGTTATGCTTGGAAGCACATGCTGGCTGTTACCAACACTGGAGAGCAGAGGAACAATCCTCGCTCAAGGGCAATGAAAAATAATGTACAGTATTTACAAAACGTATTTTTGCACACAGGAATTATGAAAATAACAGCTTATGGACTGAACTGAAGGTGAAAGTGTGTTGTTCTGCATCATTAGCACAACCAAACCATTTCGTACAGAAACAAAGTATCTTGTGAAACTAGATATGTAAAATTTTATTTTTTTCCCCCATATAAAACTAATGTGTTGCAGATGGTCATTATATGTAAGCTTTTTTGCTTATTTTATTGTACACCACATAAAACTGAAAAAACTATTGTGAAGGACGAGTCACGTCAGCTAATGACTGTTTTCAAACAGGTTTTGTCTTCAACTACCACTGTTTGGTTAAACTTTTGACCCTAACTCAGGCAAGTCTGTTTACTCGACAGCTTTAAATGCAGGGTAGGTGATTTGGTTCAAAAACATTTTTTGTCAAGGTGGTTAAAAATCTCTTCACATCACGATAACAACTTTATATGTATTTATATCATCTGTGGAAGACGTAGGACCATAAAATGTTCGTCCAATCATATCCCTCTGTCTGTGGGCTACGATAGGCTGTCCTACCTGCCTGTCAACATATGTATTTGCATACCTCCCCGCACCCTGTTCGCGCAGACACAATACATCATCAAGACGCAGACCAAGCGAGAATGGAAGGCGTTATTATTGTAATATTATGCGCTTTGCACTGTAATGTTTTCTCGCTGGTGAATGAGACATGAGGTAATCTGACATCATTGCATTCAACCCTCCACCAACGTCATCTCTCATCATGTCGTTGGCTAGCCTCTGGTCTGCCTGTGCGCGGTCATGTGTTTTGGAGGTGTGGCTTTGGAGAGTGATTTGCAGGGAGGGTGGGATCTTATGCTTTCAAAGCTATCTTGCTAATTGCTAGCCTCTCCGAAATCACCAACCCTATCTTAAATTAGGAAAAGAATTACAATCCCATGAAGCATTGCACATAATAACAATATAAACTTGTAAAGCATCTTAACGCTTTATTAGTTTTTGTACAAAATCAATTCCCCTCTTTGGAGAAAATGAATGGGATTTTTACTTGCACTCTATTAGAGTGTTTATAATCTTCAGGAAGTCAACAAACCAGCAGCTTCCTTAAAGTTGTCTCTGCACATTAAGCTTTACTGGAAGAAAATAAGTATTTTAAGTCCCAAAAAATGACACACTTCAACTTTAAATGTACATTACAGCAGTAAATTCCATGTATTTCGGACAAGCTAGTCAAAACATTTATATTTCTGCTTCTCTGTTCCATCTGCTACATTCATATTTCATACAGTACATATATATTATAACCAAATGCTCTGCCAGTACACTGTTCCAGGCGGTGCCTGTGATTGGCTCATTTTAAGGTTAGCTGTGCTCTGATTGGCTAGTTTCACATTAACAGTGATCGGTATGCTAGGTGGATGTATGGCCCACGCAGCCAGACCCCTATTAGACCTCTGTCACTCTCTCTCTCCTGCTCCATCCATCCGTCCATTCATCCATCTGTTCTCACTCTCCACCCACCACTCTGTTTTATTGCGATATTTTGTCTTGACATGTACTGTAAAACTGTCTTGCTTCAACTACATTATACATTTTCTGAAGAAAACAGTGAGTGCTTGTCACCACAAAGGATGTGCATTTGTGGTTTCTAAAATGTTCATAGTGATTTTAGTGAATATTTCAATCAAGTATCACTCCAAAATATTTGTATCATCAGTCATGTGTGTGTGTGTGTGTGCGCGCATATATATATATATATATATATATATATATATATATATACACACACACACATATATATATATATATATACTAACGTCTTGTTATATACTATGAGGTGCCAAACAGGAAATAATTCTATAAAAATCTGAATATATAGATGTAAATCTGAATATATAAATGTAAATTGTGAATATATAGTTATAAGTCTGAATATGTCTGAATATATATAAGTAAATCTGAATATATAGTTATAATTCTGAATATATAAATGTAAGTCTGAATATATAGTTATAGCTCTGAATATATAAATGTAAATTGTAAATATATAAAAAAGTAAATCTGAATATATAGTTATAAGTCTGAATATATAAATGTAAGTCTGAATATATAGTTATAGCTCTGAATATATAAATGTAAATTGTAAATATATAAAAGAAAATCTGAATATATAGTTAAAAGTCTGAAGAGGTAAATCCAAAAATATAGTTGTAAAGTTTGAATATTTAATATTTACATTTATATATTCAAACTTATAAGTATATATTCAGATTTACTTCTATATACTTACAATTTACATTTATATATTCATTGTTATAACTATATATTCACAATTTATTTCTATATATTCAGACTTCTATATATTTACAATTTACATTTATATATTCAG